GTGTTCTGGTAAATGGTGACAACCAAGGTGCAATCAATTTAGCTAAGAACCCTATGTATCATAAAAGATCAAAACATATCGATGTGAAGTATCATTTCCTTCGAAGTGAAGTTCGAACAGGTAGTATAGTATTAGCATATATTCCAACGGACGAGAATGCAGCAGATATCTTTACAAAGCCAGTTATTAAAGTCAAGTTAGATAATTTGGACCATTTATTTCAGGTAAGTATCATTCAGCATAAGAGCAAGTGGGGGTGTTAAGTTATGCTCATAATACTTCATATAATAATAATGTAATTAGTTGTGATTTTAGTTCAGTTAACCAATGATATGATTAAGACAATGAATACAATATATTTCCAGTAATACCATATATAGCATGATTAACAATTATTCTGACCAATTGTAATTTAGCATATTGTAACATAAACGCACTTGATGTAAAATAAAACTTAGTTCTTGTATGCTTCCACAGAGTGTGTATCTCTTGTAATAAAGAATGACAATTATATAATAATGACAACTACAACGAACTCAACAAATAAACTGAAAAACATACAAATACAAATCAACTTATATGTTGTTATTACATGTTCGGCTATAAGAGTATTATTATTATATGACATATTAGTGTAATTTAGTGTTATAATTCAATTAAGAGGCAATATATCCCTGTGTTTAGGCCATTTTCTATGTTATATCTAGATCATATGCGAATGCTGTCAAGGCGCTGTGGATCGTCGGACACTTGGACGGCATGTGTTTATCATAGTTTGCGCGTAAAAGTTAATAACATTCAATTATTATATTGCAAGCATTTGTTGTGATGAATTGGGCAATTTGATTGGCTGCTGACGATGCAAGATTTTCCCGTATTGCCCACAGGCAATGCGCAATTTTTATTGTACTGCGACGAGAGCCGAGTTTCAAAGTCAAACGGCAAAAATGTCTAAAAGTCTTTCAAAACTATTCAAAACGAAGAAAAATAACCTAAAATAAAAAGAGGACCAACTGCTGTGGCTAAATAACTTTCTCCATACGTTTTAGTTAGCCAAAGTCAAAATTACAAAGATAAATTTTACAAAGTTTATAACTATAAAAGCAGTCAGGCACAGTTGTGTTTTGACTATGTGAAGAGCTACAAATTTTATTTGCAGATAGCCAGGAGGAATTTGACACGTAAATAAAAATATACGACTAAAGCAGTCAAGATTTATAATTTTTCCCTGAAAATTTTTGTTTTTGTTTGATAAAAAGAGACATAAACAAGAGATGAAGCGAACTATAAAATAGATAGATAGATAGATAGATAGATATTTCAGCCCGGGATGAAGCTTGATATTAATTGTTCATAGTTGTCAACTGTCAAAATCTACAGTAGCTCATATTTTATTCGGTGTCGGGATTTTCCGGTGCGAGAACGCGGTTTTTAGCCAAAGTGGGGAACGCGTTTCCAAGTTTCCTCTGGAACGCGTTCCGACCGCGTTCCAACCGCGTTCCGACCGCGTTCCAACCGCGTTCCGACCGCGTTCCAACCGCGTTCCGACCGCGTTTGGAACGCGTTTGGAACGCGTTCGGAACGTGAACGCAGTGTTAGGTTCTTTCTGAGCAGTGCTGTATATGGTTGGTGCCCTTGGACCCCCTAGAAATTGCTTGCACCTGTCTAGTACTACACAATTTTGCTCATAAAGGGAAAGCTCTGGCATCTCAATGAGTTAATTAATTAACTAAACTATGTCATTAAGCTGTAGAGCTCCCCCACTGACGAGTAAAATCGTCTGGCGTTAGACAAGTAAAAAAATAAGTAGGGTATGTTGGGTGCATTACGGCTCAATGTGCAATATGCTATATCTTTGACCAGTCAAATCATCTGGCACTAGACAGAAAAATGAATTGAAGACATATATACTCCTTTGCAACACAAACTAATTTAAATTCACCTATTGTCAGCTTAAGCAAAGGATATGCTCAATACAGCAATACATTACAGACCTGGCGAGGTAAACGTTGCTTCTGGAACTTCACTACCAGTACGTGTCTGATCAAACTGGTCAGGACATGGCACATCAGTGGCTGGTAGTGATATAACTTGGTCATGTAATCCCTCATAGAAATGCAAAGGAAATGTAGCTCCCATAGCAATCTCAGCGTACATCATCCTCTGCTCTTTGCTGAAAATTGGTAAGAAGTTTACAGCAACTGACAGCTTGTTCACCCACATAATATACTGATGTTTGCACGGTGAACCGTTAACACCAATCTTGCACTGACAGAATCCAGTGTTCATATCGACCAGATATAGTACTCCTTCCTCAGACAGGCTTGGTACCAGGAACATGTTGCAGCCAACATTGATACCCTATAGATGTGACACTGATATATGTTGGAAATGTTACAGTCAAACCTGTATTAGTGAGCACCCTTGGGGAATGAGTTGCTTGTCAGTTAATACAGGGTTGTCACTATATTCCTTAAAAATCCTCTGTGCTAATCAAACACAAAGGACTTTGCGAAAATCTAGGTAGACTGGTGGTCGTCTAATACATAGCATGCTTGCACCTGCTAGCAGACACTTATACATTTATACTAGAAAATACATGCATGCAGAAACCCTCGCCTTGCTGACAAAACCATTGTATTTTCCGAACATGAAGTATCTAAAGTAGATGTCATGGTAACACGTTAATTTTTTAAGAATATTCAATATTTTTACAAATGAAAAATCGCCTGAAAATATCACTTTTAATTACAAAATTATTAATTTCCCAACATATATATGTTAGGTATGTTATTATACGTAATATAAGCCTCAATTTAAGGTAAAATTCAACCACAAACGCTTCGCAAAACGTTTTAAATCACTAGTGTTCTTTATATTAAAACTAATCTGCCTTTTAAAATGGCTTTATCGATAAACTTTGAGTTTGCAAAAAAATGATTTCAAATTTTCGCTTGCAAATAACTTGGCTTTCTTTTTTATTTAAAAAATTGAATATCATAAAAAAAGGAATCAATATTAAACATACAATGAAATTATATGCTGTCTTGTTAGTTATTTCATACGCAAAGGCCGTCGGATTTTAAATCCATTATAAAATCAATATTTAAAACAAACTTACCTTCGTTAACGTCGGCTCCCTTCTTTTAGCCAATTCTTTCGCAGTTTCTTTCTGAGAGAGCTTTTGAAATTTACAAAATCTTGCCAAAATGCGAGCAAAAAATGAAATATATTTGCACGAAATTTATCAATCATCAAATCAAGAAATGTTTGCTATTTCGCTGTCGTCATGCAGTCGTTATAATGCAAACTTTAAATTGGACCAATCAGTGTCCGCTATTCATGACAGTCCGCAATATTTTTGAGATCAGTGGGGATGACAACCCACCGAAAAATCGCTGGTGAGCCACGCCCGCGATATTTGATGAACTTTAGACTTCGCTAATGCTTTCGTTTCCCCGGGTGTAAATAGCCGGGGGGAATTAGTACCCTCGCACGGCGCTTCGCGCCGCCGGTTCGGGGACTAGCATACACTTATATGTACACAAAGCGTCCAACCCAAAACAGGGCCACTTAATACAGGTTCGACTGTAATGGGACATTACAACCCCCCTACCCCTAGACTTGCTCCAAGTCTCTCCTTCATTTGACATAGTATCGATCCACTATATTGTACATTACATGAAGTAGCACAGAGAGGCGGAGAAAGAAAGAGAGACTTGTCAATTTCGGAAAATCTCGGTTCAAAACTGAACCGAAAATGCAAGACTTGCTTTAATCGTTTTCCTTCAATTTCTTTCTGTATTATTTACTATTATGGAACTCACGTATTTACACTGTGCTAGATGAATACATATAACACTGACAGAAAACAATTAAAGCAAGTCTTGCATTTTTGGTTCAGTTTTGAACCGAGATTTTCCGAAGTTGACAAGTCTCTCTTTCTCGCTCCGCTCCTCCGTGCTACGTCATGTAATGTACACCATAATGGATCGATACTATATGACAATGAAAGAGAGACTTGGAGCAAGTCAACCCTATCCCCTTCGGATGTCCTAATACATTTACTATTATCAGAAACAATTTTTTCTCCCCTCCCCCTCCAGACGGCAGAAATTTCCTCTGTGGGGGGAATGTGGATCTTTTCTGGAACGGCCCAATAGGTAATTAAAATTTCATTTATTTACCCCATTGTTTGCATCTATTAACCCTTTAAGTGGCAATGCACCAAGATGCGCCCTGCTTTATTATTTTGCTCTGTCTAGTGTCTAGCGCCAGATGATTTTACTCGTCAAGGGGGAGTGTTGCCACTCAATGGGGTTATATATATATATATATATATATATATATATATATATATATATATATATATATATATATATATATATATAATATTCAATATATGTAGTTTTAAACCTGATGAAACTGACAAAAGCTTATTGCGGTAGTGTTGATCTAGCTCAGTTGTAAACTTGTCCATGAGACCAACAACATTAACTTCTTTTTGGCGGTTTAGGATCTCGTCTTTAATGACCAAAAACTGTGCTTCACACAAGTTGTTGGTATTATTACCTCTCACAGGTACTTGAATTCGGTAACAGAGTGCCCATGCCTCACAGTCCTCGAAGACATCAGTGACATACTTATTAAAGTTTGGGTATTTTGATGTCATGTCGCTTGTTATGACGGCATCAAATAAATCATGTATGTCATCTTCATTCTCTCTATAGATAATCTTCTTGAATGCCAAGAGCAAGGGAGGCCGATCTTCCAAGCTTATTCCATTTTTCTTCTCGTGTAGCCAACGCTAAACCTGTTGAAGCACATGGAAGATGCAAAGGACTGGAACAGACTTCGGCCACACATCTCTTAATGCAACTCGCAATTCATGGCAGTTATCTGTCATAAAAACTCTAGGCCCGGTTGCACCATAAAAGGCAAAATCGGGAAAGGAAGATTTAAACAGCTCCAAAGCATCTCTAAGGGTCCGCTCTTTCTCATCGCTGGTTACAAAAATTCCCGAAAGAAGGGCTCCACAAACACTATGTGTAACCACTACAAACACACGGAGATTGTATTCTTCCATATTTGAGGAGGAATCCAAGAAAGCCAAATCGTTTGCTTGTGCAACGTGTAATAATATCAATCAAACAACATTATTTAACAAAGACCTTTTCGGTTCATCAGTTATCATGTTGCTGTATTAATATTTTAAATGTGAGTCTGTATTTACTGTAAATTCTCTATTAAGCCACCCCCCCCCACCCCCCCACCCCTCCCTCAATAGGGAAGCTGTTAAAATGGGTGAAGAATAGAAATTCATTGTTAACAATAAAGAATCATGTAGTTTACTCATTTTAACACTGGACAATTTTATTTGTTTAGGGTAACCTTTTGACGGTTAATGGGTTAGCAAAACTAAAAAAAGAATCTCTCTTGTTTACACATTAATGAGCATGCACCATACTTTTGTAGTTTATAATTCTAATGCCAGTTGAAATTTTTTTTTCAACTTACCAGTTTGTGCACTCTTTTCATCAAAGGAGTTATTACTACCATGATGATAAATGGCTGGTTGATTGTTTCGTCGAACTTTTGATACTCAGTGGTATATTCCGCATCGTTCTCTTGCAAATCTTTGATCCTTTCTTCAAGAGCAGAAAACATATCTGACATACTACCAGTTCCGAATCTTTCTTTCTTAAAATAAATTCTGTTGAAATCCTCTCATCGAGGTGCTTCAGACCGATCTGAAAGTCTCTTATGGTACTCAAGGTCATCTTGGCACTCGCTCCTCAGTTGACGTAAAAATTCTCGATGAGCTGCCCCAGGCAATAAACCACTAGCATACATCTGGGTGTTGGTTTTTGTTACATTCATTGGAATGTCTTTAAAACTCAAAGAGTGCAGCGAATCAATTGAATGGTTATGATTCCACTCGACATCGATGCCTGAATTATAATCTTCATCTACTATCTTCTTCTTCTCTATCTTCATCTTCTCTTCTCTTTATCTTCATCTATCTTCTTTTACCAACACGGTGGGCAAAAAAAGACAGCAAAATTGGTCACGTACATATAAATTTATGTCGTTAGTTTGGAATATCACGAAACTCCCTCACAGGATAGAACTTAACATTCCTAAAAATCGTATGTTTTTTGTTTTTCGATTTTGTTACATTTTGGCGGGAAAATGACGTGCCAACTTTGGCGAAAAAAAATTAAACACAAGCTAAGAACATGCTAATAATTTTTTTAAGAGATTGTCCTGTAAGGATCTCAAAACTGTAAAAACATTAAAAATACAACAAGGCAGTGCGAAGATATGGCGATTCAAAGTTCGAAAAAAATGTATTTTTAGTGACAAAATGGCCGATTTTTCAGTAAAAATAGAACTTTGAATCGCCATATCTTCGCACTGCCTTGTATTTTTAATGTTTTTACAGTGTTGAGATCCTTATAGGACAATCTTTTCAAAAAAGTTACTGGTATGTTCTTAGCTCGCGTTTTAACTTTTGGCGCCAAAGTTGGGACGCCATTTTCCCGCCAAAATATAACAAAATCAAACAACAAAAAACATACGATTTTTAGGAATGTTAAGTTCTATCCTGTGAGGGAGTAGAGGCATTAAAGGTATCTGCGAACTTTATCGACATTTAATACTTGTTTAAATACATCTATAATTATGATATGTCTTTAGTTACCTTTACAAAAACAATTAAAGCTTGATAAAGCCACACCATACTTTACTCAAGTTTATATGTGATCTTTAAAGTTGATTAAAAGAAATCCATACCTTTTTTTACCTTTAAACATTAAGTTAAATCTGTTAAAGGTATGTTTAAACGTATAAAATTGTGTTTAAAGGCATTAAAGGTATGTTCGCACTTTATCGACATTTAATACTTGTTTACGTACATATTTAATTATGATATGCCTTTAGTTGCCTTTACAAAAACAATTGCTTGATAAAGCCACATTATACTTTTCTCAAGTTTATTCTTTTTTCGGGGAAAATGTGTTAAAAGATAAAATATCGGCCATAAACGTCATTGTTACCATATATAACAACGGTAACGACATCATTTTTGTAAAAAATTTTCAATTCTTGGACGATTGCTCGATTTATGTGGCACAATTTTTGTCTTGTAAAAAGAAACCTCTCTTCAAAAAATTAAATCTAAATCACGATTTTCTCATGTTTCAAAAATTGTAGGGAGCCACCTTAATCAGGATTGTAAACCTGTGACTCGGTGTTTTGTTTCATAACTTATTTTGACAATGTTTCACAGAACGAAATTAAACCAAAATGTTAAACTCAGGCTACGTTTACATGGTACAAGATGAATATGGAACCACACTGTTCACAAACTAGATCTGAATTCATTTGTTGCAAATTTGCACAGTTAGCTATGATTGATTTCGTACGATGAAGTACATGTACATGGACTTTTGATGAGGATTATTTATTCTGGGAAATTCGAATAGAAGATTTTGGCAGGGTATAAGTGGAGACCACTGGGACACACTACAGAATGAACAACTTGCTTGCAGGGACATTTTGTACAATTTTTGACATGTAAACATTTGATATGTAATGCACATTTCCAGAAAATAACAGGCGATAGCATGCATTAACATGAGATTGTCAATGCCATTGACATTGTCATTGTTACAATTGTAAACGGTCAGTTGCAAGTTTTATAACTTTAAGTTACCAAAATATAGACGAAACATTGCAAAAATGCACATATATAGTAAATATATAATGCAGCCATGATCACAATCATAAAATGTGAAGATACTGTATATAGGTGTATGATTGACGGTCATGCATACTAGACCTAATATAAAGAACCTAACATTTAATACAACATACTCATAACAGAGCAATATATAAACTCCTCTTCTCAATTAAATTGGGGTATCAAAAACATGCATGTGCATAAAATTTGCATCCTGTACATGTAGGTTGCAGGTTGTTCTCATCATGCTTAGAAAATTTATTCAAACTATAGCAATATAGACTCTTCATTGTCTTATCATGAAGTATCAGAAAGCAAGAAGACTTGAAGATATAAACCTTTACAAAAATTTATATTTCTGTTGGTTGCAGTACATTTATTCTCATAGTTAAAAAATTAAAATTCTCAGTTTCAACATAAATTTAGAAAAACTCACCATGCAGCTAAATTGAATTCAACTGTACAATAGCAGTCACTCGCTAACAAGGTTTCTTTAAAGATCTCATAAAATGGTCACTCCAAATTGACCTATAGCCAGCATAAAGATCTTGTTTGTATAGTTCATTCAAAAGCTTAAAGACAGTGAGATTTTATGTACAATATATTAATTGAATGAAACCAAAGCAATATACTGCTAATTCATCATGTTAATTTGAAATAACATTCCACTGCAGGTCCTGTGTGTAAGACTGGCTTATTTTTACATGCAGTATAAAATTTACCTTCCTGTAGACTGCAGTCTTTTGTTCTCAACATTATGATGTCATGAATGATGAGTACATGACTCAGTGTCTTACCATAAGATATCCTTAATATTGGATATTATTTCATTTATTCCTACTATTAATTTAAACCAGAAAAAATAAGGGGAAAATACATTAACTTAGTATTAATTTTTGTTAATTGTATTTTTTCATAATAAGGCACAAAGCTAAAGCAGGACTGTCACTGTCCTCAAAATATTCCAAAATCAATTAGCACAGTCATTAATCTTTTCACGTTTACATCTCACTTAAGTGGTGGCATAAAATTTGGTCATAATAGACCTTATGCATAATGATGTCACAAGGCTTAATGCCCACAACGAATGCTGGTCTTAATGGTAGCATTATAACAGTCCCGTAGCAAGCTAGGTATAATTGGGGGGGGGGGG